TCTTACTTATGAACAAATTTACCATTTAACAAATTTTTCTATTAATCAATATTGAATTGTAATTTTTAATACAATGGCTAATAGCAATGAAACATTTTTAAATGTTTCATACTTTTTAAATTCTAATTATTTCTACAAATACAACTGTTTTTTGATTGCATATTGGGGAAATTAAAAAGAAAAAATAAATTGAAATACTTTTTGTGAATCCTGTGTTTGTGCATAATATATAACTAATTAATACTATTGACAATTGTACAATAAAAATGTAAAGCATCTTTACTGTTATTAAAAAAAAATTTGAAAAAAAGTTATGTTACCTGTCTCTAATATTATCCATATAATCGGCAACATAATCGATCATCGCCTTTCCGAATTCTCTAAATTCTTTGCTATCCATATCCACGAAAAAAACTCACAATATTAATAATAAGACAATCAGTGAACTATGAATTTATATGTAAATGTAGAAACTGCCACATTTACTATTAAACATTAAATAACAAAAGATCACTCAATCCATTCTATATATTACAAAAGAGAGAGGAATATTCATTTATACAATACACTTGTATATGTGTATCTAATTATATCTCATTTGGCACAAGATATCTTTCAGAGTTGATTCTAATGAAGAAAAAGAGACCTTCACTCCAGTATTAAATCGTAACAGACAACATTAAGTATCTAAAAAGATAAAAACCACGAATCTTCAACGAACTTACAAATTATTCTGGTTTACGTCGTTACGCCGCCGATTAAATTATTTTTCTCTACTCAGTACGTTATTGACAATTTAAATAACACTGTCAAGGTAAAACAACTGTACTGTAAACCAAGTGGCAATTAAATACTTTGATAATCAGCAGAAAATCCAATATCCACCGACAACTTGTTGGATAACCTTATTTCTTGCGGTTTTAAAATAAAAGGGCACACTGGGCAACATCAATGTACAAGGTGTTTGCTATAAGGAAGTTACTCCTCAGGGCATATTGTCAAATTTGGATGTATCATGTAGGGATGAACTCGAATTAAGCATAAAAACGTTTTATTAAACATGAATTGAATTATCAATGATTTGATTGGTTTAATGTGTTCAAATAAACACGTAAATACGTGCTTGAGACCTTTTGAAGATGAGATCGGCAGGGACGGCCTTAGTCATTGGAAGGTTCCGGGCGGGTACATTTTTGCGAGGCCCTCGTCTTTGTGGAATTAGTTTTAATGATGATACTTAAAAAATGTAGTGATTCATAAAACAGTTTTAAAATTGTTTATCGAAAATTAAAAAAAAACAAAGATAGCAAATTTGCGGCTTCTTTTAAAACTATTAAGAAATTCAAATAAACATTAGTTGCATGTGGTATTACTACCTAATATTTTTCTAATTAGATTGTTGCGCGAGTGTGCGAGGCCCCTGCAAGAGCGAGGCCCCGGGCGGTTGCCCTGTTCGCCACCCCCAAAGGCCGCCCCTGGAGATCGGTACAAACGGTACATGCGAAAGTCATAAATATCTGTACCAGAACATGACAATTCAATTTCTAATTCAAGATTGTACAGTTAACTTTCAGGAAAAAACGAAACAAAAATCTGTGTTAGTTGATTGCAGGAAAGAATTACGATTATTAGAATAACGCCAATGAAACTAATCAAAAATAACTTTATCTAATATACCTAAATTGTGAAAATTTTATTTTATCATTAATTGGCGATGGTTGTTAAACTGGCCCTTAAGTTTAAACGAATCTAAAAATTTTGTAATGATCCGTTTTTTTATGGTTCTCTGGCATTAAATTTTTTTGAACATCTTTGTCTGCTTCCAGTCAATCAAAAACATTATATTTTTTGAGGAAACAATATACAAGTTATTTACATGTCGTAAATTGTAATACCTTAAAATTTAAATAGGAAAGTGCATTATATTATTAATAAATAAACCATTTTCTTATCGTACCTATTTATTGTATATGTAACTAGCTTTACAGAAATAAACGCAAAGGTTGCAGTTGCATGAGTTACATGGGTCTTGGTCAAGGTTCAAATTAATTGCTACGATAATGTTCTTCGTTTACGTCAAAGNTACTACCTAATATTTTTCTAATTAGATTGTTGCGCGAGTGTGCGAGGCCCCTGCAAGAGCGAGGCCCCGGGCGGTTGCCCTGTTCGCCACCCCCAAAGGCCGCCCCTGGAGATCGGTACAAACGGTACATGCGAAAGTCATAAATATCTGTACCAGAACATGACAATTCAATTTCTAATTCAAGACTGTACAGTTAATTTTCACGAAAAAACGAAACAAAAATCTGTGTTAGTTGATTGCAGGAAAGAATTATGATTATTAGAATAACGCCAATGAAACTAATCAAAAATAACTTTATCTGATATACCTAAATTGTCAAAATTTTATTTTATCATTAATTGGTGATGGTTGTAAAACTGCCCCTTAAGTTTAAACGAATCTAAAAATTTTGCAATGATTCGCTTTCTTTTATGCTCTTCTGGCATTAAATTTTTTTTGAACATCTTTATTTGCTTCTAGTCAATCAAAAACATTATATTTTTTGAGGAAACAATATACAAGTTATTTACATGTCGTAAATTGTAATACCTTAAAATTTAAATAGGAAAGTGCATTATATTATTAATAAATAAACCATTTTCTTATCGTACCTATTTATTGTATATGTAACTAGCTTTACAGAAATAAACGCAAAGGTTGCAGTTGCATGAGTTACATGGGTCTTGGTCAAGGTTCAAATTAATTGCTACGATAATGTTCTTCGTTTACGTCAAAGTCGTATAGTTTATTATAATTCAACTCTAAACTATGAATAATTTTGCAGTTGTGCCTGATTGTAATTCATTGAAATGAGAATTCAAACAACACGCTGTACTGTTATTAAAATTATAATTAGTAAATTAATGCCAGAATTAATTTGAAATAGAACTTTTTAAATAGTAAAATATGCACTTAAATCAATTTTATCATTAATTGGTTTTAACTTTTTTCTTTGATATATTTTTCAACGAAATTCTTAAAAAGTTGTAGTCGATCTTATGAATCTTAAACAGAAAAGATAAAATAATTTCACAATATCGGTTAGTGAGGTGATTTGAAAACCTACTCCAATGCTCATTTTATAATTAAAGTAAATGGAATTGTAAGTTTTGCATATTCCTTTATTGATTCTGCGAAGCATTGGTATATAAAATAATACGTCGTCATTACCTCGGGGCCTTTATCCCGAGGATCGGTTGGACACGCACTTCCACTCCTGCACTTCTAACCATTTGGGAATAGTAATCTATTAATCTAAATCTATTCCGGAACTTTTGTAATATGTTTTTGTTTCTGCTTCTAATACGTCTCTAACTAACCCTTTATGCCTGATAAAGTGTCCTACCAACCCACCTCGTCTTACTAACCTATTAACTTCAATAATTTCCTCCGTCCTCCTACTCTTCCCCTCATTTCTATAACCTTTCTTAACCACGGAATTTTTAGCGTCCAAATTTCACAAACTTCTTACCTTTTCTTTATTCTCAGCGCAACAGAAAGTTAAAAAAAATATAAATATATATTACTTTCTTGTATTAGGTATATAATAAAATAAAATATAAATACACAAGTAAAACATAATGAAATAAAAACATTAAAAATAAATTAACAAAAATAATCTTAGAAAACGTGAATTATTTTAAATAAAAATGTTATTACTGCTGATCAAAACTGGTAGAACTGAGCGCCAACAAGTCCGACTGCGTCTCCATCAAACTGCCTCTGAAATTAGACGGAAATGTCCACGTCACGTCGTAGTACCGTTTTTCCAATAGGTCATCAGAAATTAGGGTAATCGTGAAGTTTTTCAAGTTGCTCAACTTATTCGCGTTTATATGCATTGAAACGTCTACGCTTTCTCGTATTTTACGAACTCCATCGATGAAAATTGTGTTTGGTAAAGAGACGGTGGATGTATTGTAAGTTAGTTTGTATTCCACCCCTTGTCTGTAAAGCTGGGCGATGTCATCTCTGCATTCTTCGTTTACGTTGTCAACAGCAAAGTAAACCAACTTTGATCCCAAGTATGACGTAGCAGCTAAAGCAGGAATACTGTAAATGTCTATGTGGATATGAAATATTCTATACGTATTGTAGGTATATTTTTGATTTTGAACTATAATCAGCGGCGGATGCATGTTTCCTTGGAAATCACTTTTCAAAAAAAGAAAAAATTATAAATGATAAACCATAAAATTTCTAAATGACGCGCAATTTGCATTTTTTTGCCCTAGACAAAAATTTTCAGTCTCTCAGAGTCTTTCAGCATCTCTGAGAGCGTCTCTCACAGTCTCTCAGTTATTGCCTAAATGTTTTTATGGATCTCTCACAGTCTCTGTATGAGAGACTCGAACGATAGAATTGTTAATTCAGAGATTCGAGTCTCTCACAGAGAGACTGAATAAATAAAACTGAAAAATTGAAAGACTCGAGTCTCTCGTAGAAAGACTAAATCTTTGAAATATGTTGAACTTGTCTATCGAGACACCACTTATTGAGAGATTCGAATCTCTCGTTCAGAGATTCGAGTCTCTTGTTCAGAGACGCTAAACAGTTTTGAGACCTTGAGAGATTGAACATTTTTATCTCGGAGAGTGCGAGTCCTCATTAGCCCAGTTTGAACCACTGTAAAAAGCGAAATTCTGCGCTCTCAAGTTTTAAAATTGGTTAAAAAAGAGTCAAAATTAGGAAACATTTCCTTAGATTACGCAAAAACACATGCTATTCTATGACACCCTACTATACCGCACTTTTCAGTATATTATACAAATTAACATTGGCTTGAACCTAGCGGCGGATCTTGCACATTCGTAACCTCATGCATAATTTTTTGTGGGATCCCAATTCATAAAAAAATAAAAATTAAACTATAAAACTCCTAAATAATCCGTAATTTTAGAATTTGCAAGAAATACATAACTGGAATGTGGGCCCCATGAGTCGAGGACCCCACACAGAGTGCATCATTTACTTCACCTTAAACCCGCTTCTGCTTATAATTATTAAATAATATCATTATCATAAGGTCGTCTCACTAGAGAAAAATTTTCAGTCTCTCTCCAGTCTCTCAGTCTTTCACACTCTTATACAGTCTCTCAGTTATTGTCTAGGTGTTGTCTAGATCTCTCACAGTCTCTGCATGAGAGACTCGAACGATAAAATTATTAATTCAGAGATTCGAGCCTTTCACAGAGAGACTGAATCAATAAAACTGAAAAACTGAGAGACTTGAGTCTCTCGTAGAAAGACTGGGATCCCTGAAATATGTTGAACTTAGAAAATTTTAACCATTGAAAGATTCCAGTCTCTTGTTCAGAGATTGATACGAAATGAGGATCTCTTTATGAGCGATTCGAGTCTCTCGTTTAGAGACGCTAAAAAGTTTTTTTTGACAGTTTCTCGAAAGTCTCTCAGCGACACCAGAGAGACTCGATGAGAGACGGAGACTCGAATCTCGCTTTCAGAGACTGTGAGAGACTGAACATTTTTATCTCAGGCAGTCCTAAGACTGGTTGGACATGTATCTCCACTCGTTTCTATCCTGAGATAATCTTCGCATTTCCCTAAAACTAGAACATCCACATCTTTAACTATTCGCGAACAGTAATCAAATCTAGGTCCACCTCTACTCCTCTTAACCCGTGTTTTCCTCGAATATGTCCCTGACTAGAGCTTCACGCCTGAGGAGGTGTCCTACCAACCTATCGTTGTTGTCCTACTCTTTCTAATATCTATTCATTTCTAACCTTCTCTATCCACGGTATCCTCATCATTCGCCTATAACACCATATTTCAAACGCTTCTAACCTTCTTTTTTTCCGCCGCGCCCACCGTCCACGTTTCACACCCGTACAGCACCGCGCTCCAAACAATTTAACAATCTTTTCCGAATTTCAAAATTATTCGCTCGCGATCATGGAAGTGACTTATAAATGATATATAACGTAAAAAAATGGTGTAAATCTGAACACTGGGTGCTCCCAATGTTTCCTTAACATCTTACCGTAATCTTTGCTCCATTGTTCGAGGCCTTCTACTGCACAACTAAACAGCTTACCAACTCCTGTCCATAAGTCATCGTTGAGGCAAGGAATCTGTATATTTATTATTTTAGGACATGTTTTCGCTTTCGTTACTACATTATTAGTATCTGATCCGCGCGTTCCACAGGTGCACTTTGCGGCAACCGTTTTCGAGAACATCACCTCGTCCATTTCGATTGGGATAACAGTATGGGATAACTCTTCGGTGTTCGGCACGATCTTCAGTTCTATGCAGAAGTCTCCAACTTGAACATTCGTAAAAAATATGAGATACATCCGTCCGATTTCGCTGAAGCAGTACGCCCGGAATTGCAGAATTCCGACGCCTTTCTGATCGCAAATTAATTCACTCATTTGCGAATTAATTCTACTGGGTAGCGTAGGTAATTCGTTTCTAGTTTTCCACGACAACAGCTCTACACTGTTCGAATTTTCCACTTTACCTGTGGTGTAAAAGATTCGGTAATTCGTTTCAACAGCGTACGGTGACCGAACGGGTAAAGAGACATCGACGGAATTGTAGACCGGAACGGGAAGTTTTACAGTTGTTGTACAACGATCAAACTTGACGATGCCTTCTAACCAGTAGGACATGCACTTGGCAAAACGGTAACCCCTGTTTTCGCCATTCAGTAGAACAAATACCCTCACAGTTTTGATAAAGTTTGCTCTAAATGTTAACTTAACTTTAACCGATTTCTTCGGCTGAACCACAAACTCCGTGCTACTGACCGAGACGCAGTTGTAATCGTTTTTAAACAGAGTAACATTGTACATGATCTTCTGCTTGTCGTTGTTGAACACAGCAATGGTACTGCTAGCTGATTTGTTGATGTTAGCTTCTAAACTTATTGTCTTCAGTGGGTAAATGGATGGCAGAAATTGGAACAAATACACGCACAGGATTAACGTGTAGATTCCCGTTTCTGTATCCGTTATATATTCGGGACTCACAGTAATAACGGCGTGTAGCTGCTTGAGCCATTCCATCACTACTATTGCGTTATGGTGCATGTTCTCTAAGGAATCGGGACAAAAGTAGATGTCGTTCATATTGTCGTTGAAAAAGGGGCAGTAGAGGGAGATTGCAGCCAGTAAAACAAGACCGTCTTCCAAATCCTCGTTGAAATTCGTCAGTTGACGTTCTTCGAGTACGTTCTCCAGATTTTCATTCCACGTTTTTATTTGGACATTATACGAACTTTCCAGCCAGCTGAGAATTGCCAATTCGGATTTGGTAGCAAAGTGGCTGCTCGTACAATGAAGACTTTCTGCGGGTGATTGTAGGATTTCAAAAGGATCTGAAGTACTGCCAGTCGACAAGGGATCTGTTTCGTAGTATGGAGCAACGCTCACTTCTTCCGATCTTTCAGAAAGCAGAGTTTCCACGCCAGAGTCTGAATAATTGTTTTCTGTAGTATTTGGGATGAAAGGCATGGACTGAATTTGGAAGAGTATTACAACTTTATATGTTTGAAGAATTAGGTCCAACCAGCACTGCTGACTTCGTAAATAAAAGTCTTTTTCTTTGTATGGTTTTGTAAGTTCTAAACGGATATCTTTCCTTTGCGGTGCAATCTGATTGATCAATATCAAATAATCGTCATAAGATAATAAATATTCCGGATGTACGTAGGGAAGTGTGGCACCCTTTGATTTAAAGAAAGCAAGCGCTTTTGAGTAACTTTCGCAAACTTTTATTACTCGTTGGATGTCGTCCGCAGGTAATGTAAACCTACAACAACAATACTGTATATTATACTGTTATATATATCTAGTATCAATACGTATCTAGAACGGATGCGTATGNCCTTTGATTTAAAGAAAGCAAGCGCTTTTGAGTAACTTTCGCAAACTTTTATTACTCGTTGGATGTCGTCCGCAGGTAATGTAAACCTACAACAAGAATACTGTATATTATACTGTTATATATATCTAGTATCAATACGTATCTAGAACGGATGCGTATGTGAATTAATTGTCTAGGTGTTGTCTAGATCTCTCACAGTCTCTGCATGAGAGACTCGAACGATAAAATTATTAATTCAGAGATTCGAGCCTTTCACAGAGAGACTGAATCAATAAAACTGAAAAACTGAGAGACTTGAGTCTCTCGTAGAAAGACTGGGATCTCTGAAATATGTTGAACTTAGAAAATTTTAACCATTGAAAGATTCCAGTCTCTTGTTCAGAGATTGATACGAAATGAGGATCTCTTTATGAGCGATTCGAGTCTCTCGTTTAGAGACGCTAAAAAGTTTTTTTTGACAGTTTCTCGAAAGTCTCTCAGCGACACCAGAGAGACTCGATGAGAGACGGAGACTCGAATCTCGCTTTCAGAGACTGTGAGAGACTGAACATTTTTATCTCAGGCAGTCCTAAGACTGGTTGGACATGTATCTCCACTCGTTTCTATCCTGAGATAATCTTCGCATTTCCCTAAAACTAGAACATCCACATCTTTAACTATTCGCGAACAGTAATCAAATCTAGGTCCACCTCTACTCCTCTTAACCCGTGTTTTCCTCGAATATGTCCCTGACTAGAGCTTCACGCCTGAGGAGGTGTCCTACCAACCTATCGTTGTTGTCCTACTCTTTCTAATATCTATTCATTTCTAACCTTCTCTATCCACGGTATCCTCATCATTCGCCTATAACACCATATTTCAAACGCTTCTAACCTTCTTTTTTTCCGCCGCGCCCACCGTCCACGTTTCACACCCGTACAGCACCGCGCTCCAAACAATTTAACAATCTTTTCCGAATTTCAAAATTATTCGCTCGCGATCATGGAAGTGACTTATAAATGATATATAACGTAAAAAAATGGTGTAAATCTGAACACTGGGTGCTCCCAATGTTTCCTTAACATCTTACCGTAATCTTTGCTCCATTGTTCGAGGCCTTCTACTGCACAACTAAACAGCTTACCAACTCCTGTCCATAAGTCATCGTTGAGGCAAGGAATCTGTATATTTATTATTTTAGGACATGTTTTCGCTTTCGTTACTACATTATTAGTATCTGATCCGCGCGTTCCACAGGTGCACTTTGCGGCAACCGTTTTCGAGAACATCACCTCGTCCATTTCGATTGGGATAACAGTATGGGATAACTCTTCGGTGTTCGGCACGATCTTCAGTTCTATGCAGAAGTCTCCAACTTGAACATTCGTAAAAAATATGAGATACATCCGTCCGATTTCGCTGAAGCAGTACGCCCGGAATTGCAGAATTCCGACGCCTTTCTGATCGCAAATTAATTCACTCATTTGCGAATTAATTCTACTGGGTAGCGTAGGTAATTCGTTTCTAGTTTTCCACGACAACAGCTCTACACTGTTCGAATTTTCCACTTTACCTGTGGTGTAAAAGATTCGGTAATTCGTTTCAACAGCGTACGGTGACCGAACGGGTAAAGAGACATCGACGGAATTGTAGACCGGAACGGGAAGTTTTACAGTTGTTGTACAACGATCAAACTTGACGATGCCTTCTAACCAGTAGGACATGCACTTGGCAAAACGGTAACCCCTGTTTTCGCCATTCAGTAGAACAAATACCCTCACAGTTTTGATAAAGTTTGCTCTAAATGTTAACTTAACTTTAACCGATTTCTTCGGCTGAACCACAAACTCCGTGCTACTGACCGAGACGCAGTTGTAATCGTTTTTAAACAGAGTAACATTGTACATGATCTTCTGCTTGTCGTTGTTGAACACAGCAATGGTACTGCTAGCTGATTTGTTGATGTTAGCTTCTAAACTTATTGTCTTCAGTGGGTAAATGGATGGCAGAAATTGGAACAAATACACGCACAGGATTAACGTGTAGATTCCCGTTTCTGTATCCGTTATATATTCGGGACTCACAGTAATAACGGCGTGTAGCTGCTTGAGCCATTCCATCACTACTATTGCGTTATGGTGCATGTTCTCTAAGGAATCGGGACAAAAGTAGATGTCGTTCATATTGTCGTTGAAAAAGGGGCAGTAGAGGGAGATTGCAGCCAGTAAAACAAGACCGTCTTCCAAATCCTCGTTGAAATTCGTCAGTTGACGTTCTTCGAGTACGTTCTCCAGATTTTCATTCCACGTTTTTATTTGGACATTATACGAACTTTCCAGCCAGCTGAGAATTGCCAATTCGGATTTGGTAGCAAAGTGGCTGCTCGTACAATGAAGACTTTCTGCGGGTGATTGTAGGATTTCAAAAGGATCTGAAGTACTGCCAGTCGACAAGGGATCTGTTTCGTAGTATGGAGCAACGCTCACTTCTTCCGATCTTTCAGAAAGCAGAGTTTCCACGCCAGAGTCTGAATAATTGTTTTCTGTAGTATTTGGGATGAAAGGCATGGACTGAATTTGGAAGAGTATTACAACTTTATATGTTTGAAGAATTAGGTCCAACCAGCACTGCTGACTTCGTAAATAAAAGTCTTTTTCTTTGTATGGTTTTGTAAGTTCTAAACGGATATCTTTCCTTTGCGGTGCAATCTGATTGACCAATATCAAATAATCGTCATAAGATAATAAATATTCCGGATGTACGTAGGGAAGTGTGGCACCCTTTGATTTAAAGAAAGCAAGCGCTTTTGAGTAACTTTCGCAAACTTTTATTACTCGTTGGATGTCGTCCGCAGGTAATGTAAACCTACAACAACAATACTGTATATTATACTGTTATATATATCTAGTATCAATACGTATCTAGAACGGATGCGTATGTGAATTAATTCGAGTTAATCTTTTAAATGTGATCTTTAAAGATTATTTGGAGCTGATTGTTTTAGATCTTGCCAGATTAGTTTCTTGAAAAGAAATGGTCACCTGGCTACTATAATCAACTTATGGAAAATGACAACGACATATAGGCAGAAGCAGAGAAAACTGAAGAAGAACAAGACAGACAAAAACTAGAGGAAAAACTAAATTTATCGAAATACGCGAAGGAATACAAAGAAATCAACCCAATCGATAAACCGGAATACTTGAAAAAGGGACATAAACGAAGGAACGAACTAGAGATGTATGCAAGAATCGGGTTATGATAAAAAAAGAAAGCTAATAAGAAAAGGAAACTCTACGCAGAATATGTTAGAAAAAGGAGGAAACACTACAACATGTCCTAGAAAAATGTGAGCCTACGGGAAAAGAGCAGGAAAGTTAGATATAGAAGATAACGGGCCCAGGAACTCATGAAAGAATGTGGACTATAATATGGATAGGGAAATTGAAGGAAAAGGAGATGGGAAAAAACGAAGAGCACAACATTGACACATAAAAAGGAAAAGACAGAAGAAGAAAGAACGAGCACAACATATACTTACACACACACACAAACACACACACACCTACACATACACACACACAAACACACACGCACACACACACACACACACACACACACACACACACAACAACACACAAATCTATCTATCTATCTATCTTTGATGATATTTGTTGATCAGTCCAAATAGGTGGCGCTACACATTTTAATCTTCCTTCTTGTTATTAGATTTGGACATTTATATAAACAAATGAATAGAAGACATTCTTACTTTCTGCCACACCAAATGATAGAAGTAATCTTGTCTCCTAGTAACTTTATAAGAAACTGTTCATAGTACAAATATGTTTTTCGTTCATTCTTTTTGTCTTTTTCATTTTTATCTTTGCCTTTACGCTCAGCTGGCATTGTCGAAAATCCTTCGGGTATCTTTAGAAATTTATCGTTATTAAAGACTTGACTGAACACAACATATTCCATCGTTTCCAACGTCCTCTTCATATGAATGTAATATCTATTAGATGAACATTCAGAATTCGGAAAAAACGGACACGTGTAATTCGAAATATTGAGACGTTTTCCCGAATACACGCAATACGGAAATGCATTTTCCATGTCTTCGCAATCCTGAAAAGTTAAGAGTAATAAAAGAACTTGAAACGCTATCACGCTTTGATCGTTACTATAATGATGTGATTGGGTTCATGTAAAAGGAATTTAATTTGTTCAAAGCAAAGTGTACTCTGTACTTGGCTAATGATAATCGATTAATTAATATAAGTGGCGTACTTAGAATACTTAAGAAGGAAAGTTTTTCCTGCTTAATCCGTTGAAAAATCGTCAAATTTTGTAGCAGGTGGTCAAAAAATTTTTAATAATATTATAACAGACTAATTAGTATTAGTAAGAAGATGCCATAAATACATAATTATAATAGGGAGTACGTAAAACCAAGATCAGGACATGTGATGGTCTAATTTGTTTCAATTTTTTCAAAAAAACAGTTTTCGAAGAGAATTCTGTTATAAATTTCTCCAAACTCTTGAAATAGTGCATTAGTGAATTAATTTTACCCACTATAGATAATCTCAAATTAATTCACCAATACGCTGAAGTGGTGTCGTCTTACTTGCGAACGTTTCAGATGCGAACAACCACATTTTGGTGTTATTTGCGAACACTCGTATTAAGATCCAGGTGCTCTTAATAATTATAGGTCCATTTGCGAACAACTACATTTTATTTATTTCGGTTGAATCTGCACCTTTTGATCTCAAGATTGTCCAGTTCAAGTATTTCCTTTTATTTATAGAAATTAAAATGTCTTAACATTTAGGTACTTGATGACATTATACAAAGTATACTTTATGTTTTGTGTTTATTAAATTTTACTAACCATTTGTTCTCCCGACTGTTTCACTGCTGTACAGAATATTGTTTTAGAAGCATTATAATTTCGTATAATCACCGTTTTGCAAACTGTTGCTCCGAAATACGTTTTTCCAAAATTTAAGAACATTGTTCGCTCGTTAGCAGGAATGGGATGGAGTATCTCGAAACGCGGTTGAATAATATTTGCCGAAACTTTTACAGATATTGAATTAGCACATTTTATCCAAAACTGGGTACTATAAGGACCCAACTGATCTACCATAATTTGCAATGAAAGTGGCATTTCTCCTTTAGGCTGTAACGAACATTGCAGTCAAAATGTTAGAAATAGGTAAGTGTTTTCTGTAACCCACTTCCCTAGAAACTTCTATAATTCAACTATTGCTGAGTATATTCAATTTAAACTATTTGCATTTGTGGAAAACTCTACTAACATACGTATCTATAGTTGGAACGATCACAATTGGCAAAGTCCGCAATAAATTATCTGTGAGAGTGNGGTTTTTCAAAATATATAACATTAATCCTTGCGATTTTAAGAAGTGAAGTCAAGATTTGTTACCTTAACGGCTTAACGTTACATTTTTCGAAAATTGAAATTATCGAAACAGCGAAAGGAAAGTCTTCCTTGGTCTACGATGGTTATCACTTGGTTATGTATACAAAAGAAAAAACAACAGTGCAAAGGAATGTTAAAGAGCAAGTGTGATGAAGTAATGTCAGTCACACCACATGCTTGTAAGCCGGATATGGCTCTTATTGAAGTAAAGAAAGGATTGTTTTCGGCAAAAAAACGAGCACGGGAGGAAGATGTATCTATATACCAAAGATATACTCCGAAGAGATGAAACTGCCTGTTCGCAAATGAAACTTTAATTTCTAGGTCAACCCAAGGCTACTTATTGCTGTTCGCAAGTGGCACTAAATCTCATTTGTTCGCAATTGACATGTTCGCAAATAGCACTAATTCGCTGAAGTAACACTACAAAAATTCAAAGTGTCTCACTTTTGGAATAGTTAGACCTTTGTTTTCAGTCTTCTAAACATTGCTTACTTTAGCATCCAAATAGAGTGTATTGTGTTAAATTGTAGGTAATTATGTCATGAATATGTAAATTACTTGTTTTACCTCGTTGCTTACAATATTTTGGTAATTATGTTCGTCAAATACTTTCAAGAAGCCATGTATTGTAAAGAGGCAATTTTCCGCACAGCCTTTCACGCCAATTTTTTGCGAAGAACCGCAAGAACATGCAAGGTTTACATCGGTGTCAACTATACCATTTCCTCTGAAGTACACGAACAGTTTCAGGGGCACGGTTTCTCTATTCTGATAAGTTCTTTTTCTACCTCCAACTGTTATAATTAAATCGTTCAGCTCAGTTTCAGCTGTGAAATGACAATCAACTGAATGATCAGCAAGTTCGACAGTTATGGTTTTTCCGACTCCACAACATGGGGGAACTGGTGGAAAGAACACGATCTCTTCCTGGAAGCTAATTGTGGCTGGTTTGTAAATTATTTCAAAGGAGAGATAGGTAAACAGGGGTCCATTTGAGTAGTGCCTTACAAAAACCGGAGCGTGTAAGGTTTTACCAATTTCAGGTACAGTATGGCAAACAATATCTAATATGGCCTCCTCACCCACGTTCAACTTGGCGGAAACAGAATTATCAAAATCTTCAAACATTCCGTCATCTACTAATGTAAAGATGGAAATTAAGATTATTTTTTGAATGAGTTTAGAAGATAAAGCTTTCTTTGATGTCAGTAAATACAATTAACTCAAGAAAAACGTGTCCGAGGTTCAGTTAAACATATTTTTGGGTACCCAACAAATTTGTTTGGGATCTATCTTCGTTATATAATTGCAAAGACTTGCTTACGTTTAAAAATAACAAAAATGAAGGACAGTCATGTTAATATCAGATGATTGGTGTAGTATTTGTTTGATACTTATAAAAATCACCTTTGCCTATGGAATTTTAGGAACCGTTTTCTTTTACTTCCCTTTTAAATGGTTTAATAATTATATTATAGTTCACAACAATTAGGTAAGAATATTTTCATGAAATAATACTACGCAAATTTCCTGTTTAAACTAAAAAACTAACAATATGTGAGATTACAAGTATGCTAAACTTTAAGACATTAAAATAATTCGAAGTAGTCTGTATTCTGTCGAAACTGCCAGACGCGGATCGCGATTTTGATCTTTTTGGATCTCATCAGCGTGTCGCAGGCAGCTCCGACAGAACACAGACCAACTTTTACCTGCTGTCTTAACAGTACGTTTTAGAAAATACTACAAATGGCGCAGTAAACGCCATCTGTAGCACGATGCTACATTTTAGGATTACGTATGCTCCAACAAGGTCCACTTGTGTGGATATCTACTTGCTGAAAACGAATCCCGGCGTAGCCAACCTCAACGTGATAGGCACGTTAGCTTAATCGAATAAAATAATTCGAAGTGGTCTGTATTCTGTCGAAACTGCCAGACGCGGATCGCGATTTTGATCTTTTTGGATCTCATCAGCGTGTCGCAGGCAGCTCCGACAGAACACAGACCAACTTTTACCTGCTGTCTTAACAGTACGTTTTAGAAAATACTACAAATGGCGCAGTAAACGCCATCTGTAGCACGATGCTACATTTTAGGATTACGTATGCTCCAACAAGGTCCACCTGTGTGGATATCTACTTGATGAAAACGAATCCCGGCGTAGCCAACCTCAACGTGATAGGCACGTTAGCTTAATCGAATAAAATAATTCGAAGTGGTCTGTATTTTTATGACATTACTTTTAAGAATTGTTGTAAGAACTCAGTGTGTTCAAAAAGTTTCAAAAATAAAATTAAAATTCTATTTGTGTGCTAGTTAAAGTTTAAATTAATTAGCCATAAATATATTCGTACATACCTGAGTGCAAAATGGAAATGCTTTCTTTAATATCATCAATTCTTATGCAGAATTCATTTTCCTCATCACCCACATTAGTGATAATAAGGCTTTGCTTTTCAGGCAGCTCATGTTTATACTGATTAATTTCGAAAGCAAATTTAATTTTCGAAAAGTTCAAATCGATATTGGTAACGGTACTTGAAATCGTCATTGTTTGCAACTTGTAGTCATTTGGGTCTAAATCGACTTCATATATGTTTTCGTACAAAGTTCGATTATTTTCAACAAAATACATGAAATTCTCTGAAACATTGACCACTGGTGGTCCCACGATGTCGTTCACAACAACCGGCAAATAAAACTTGAGTGTGTTAGTGGTTCTGGGAGTGAAAAATAAGCAAAGCCTTTTTGTTTCTCCCGGATTAAGAAAAAATCCGTCATTAAAAAGGGTTTTGCTGCTGTAGTCATTCTTTTCTTTAATCGCGTATTCAGGGACTTCATGGAGAGGTATGCGAAACTTGCTTCTACAACTACACTTGTTTACGATATTGAAGGACATGCTGTGGGTGGAGAAACATGTGACCTTTTTGAGATGTAGAGCGTCTGGTTGTATGTAATAGAACGGATACACCACAGTTGCATCTATTTTCAAGTTTAATTCCAACATTTTTCCAACGGATATGACCAAGGTACAGTCGAGTCGGAGCGTAGTGGTGAAATGGAAAATTATATCGATCAATTGATCGCACTTCCTTTCCAACATTCCGTTTTCTGGGGTGACCGTCAAACCAGGTATATGCTGATGACCGCTAATTGAAAATGTCACACAGCACATGTCCGCGTTCCTTAAAATTACTGACCGTTTCAATTTTGTGTTCAACGGAACGTTCGGAACGCTCAGGCGGTTGCTCAGCAAAAATACGTTGAATGGGGTGTATCTCACTAACAAGGAAATAGTCCTGTATATCCCGGAGTAAAAAAAATTTAGTTCCGCTTCGGTGTCGATGCAGACGTTTTCGCATTTTTTCTTGTAAATTGCACACTTTAAATTGCGATGCGGTGGGATGACACCGGCCATTGGTACTATTCGAAAACAATCGGAATTCAGTTTCCATTTAAAGACTATGTTGCCAAATACGATGTTTGTGACAGTGACCACCTTGTAGTCTTCGACATTCTCGAAGATGATATCAGTTGGATTTAGTTCTACCATTGTGTCGACAATGTGGGCGTTGAAGGCGATCTCGGTGAAATGGCTTCCGTTTGCAATAATTTCTATCTGCACAAATACCAATCCGGGTTTTGAAGGGGCAGTGAACAGTAGCTCGATTTCTTTCGACGAATGTGCTTTCAGAATTGCATTATTTCCGTCAGATATTTCTATTAAAGGTTTTGAGAAACTAATAGTGATGGCCACGTTGAAATCATTGAGATTTTGAAGTGTAACTTTTTCTGCTACTGAGCTATCAATCAGCACCTGTTTTAAAAATTACCATATAATCGCCCGAGATAAAAATGTTCAGAGTCTCTGAAAGCGAGACTCGAGTCTCCGTCTCTCATCAAGTCTTTCTGGTGTCGCTGAGAGAGACTGTCGAAAGACTGTCAAAAAAACTGTTTAGCGTCTCTGAACGAGAGACTCGAGTCGCTCATAGAGAGATCCTCATTTCACAACCAGTCTCTGAACGAGAGACTCGAATCTGAACGAGAGATTTCAATCTCTCAATAAGTGGTGTCTCGATAGACGTGGTTAAAATGTTGTAAGTGTATCATATTTCAGAGATCCCAACCTCTNAAATATTCTAAAACCCGAACATTTTGACAACACTAACAGAAATTGAAAAAATTGCTTGGAATAATTTTCTTGGAAAATAAAAAGGCTGGCAATTACGTTACTCTTGTTGAAAATATGATGTTATCGTATCAAAAAATGGGTTGCAATATGTCCCTGAAGATCCATTTCCTAGAACTGTAGAGCGGAATTCGTTTATTATAACTCTGCCTATACTGGCCAACCGCTTATTATGAAGTAATTGCAGTGTTGAGTTTGGTTTTTATATTAAATTCTCTATAAGCAAGTTTGCATATAATGACTCCGTTTAAAATGATATATCGTTTATTATGACTGATTCTCAAGAAATCATATTCGGCTATAGTGATCCAAATGATTAATAATAACATTTTAGCTCATTTTTCTGACCCTTATGTATACTGATATTAAAATTCACTGTTCTTTTTCTTTTTTTGTTAATCAATATATACACTTTGTAGTTTTTTTATCATTATTAAACCAAATAACTAACCAAAATAGAAAGTTTTTTATTTTCTAAGACTATGCTCGCTTAGTATGACGTGTTTGTCATTTTCCCTTCGATGTCATTATAAGCCAATTCTACTGTAATTATATTTCATAAATAGATGTTTGAATATATTCACAAATATATGTGCCAAAATGCAATAATTATTTCGTTAGGGGGTTGTTCATAAAATACGTTCGCAAATAAGGGAGGGATACGACAAAGGGAGGAGGATGTCTAGAGAAATGTGACGTTTGTAGTTCATCAGTTTAATTTTAATGTTTTTCTTAACTTAGCAGTTCTTAAGCTTTTCATTGCGGTGGAATGCCATTCTTATCGCTATATTTAATAATAAGGAATCGTTTATAGGGCGGGGGTGAACTATCTTCTGATTAAGACAGAGGAGTGGTTCGAAAAGGTGAAATAATGAGTGACGTATTTTATGGACGACTCCTAAACAATGACTTATCTAGATAATCGTCACTAAAAATTAAAAAAAAAAACAGGCTGTTGAGTATTCCGCCGAAATTGTCAAACGTGGATCATGGTTTTGATCTCACTGAATATCATCAGCACGCTGTAGACAATTCCAACAGAATATTAACCAATTCTGCCTTCTGCATATATAAACCGTTGTCTTAAAGACAGCAGGTGGATTGGTCTGTTCTTTGCCTTACGATTAATTTCATAAAGGCCAATTAATTTGTCCTTTAATTTATGCGTATATCAAAATTACTTACCCTTTTTAATATAATACTAGAAGGGTACACTTTAAAATTAAAAAGTGCCTCAGGGCTCATTGGCAAACTACTCATGCAGATAGGTTTCTCCTTTAATTCTCTAAACGTCGGACAATTTTCTTCCGGCATATTCAAGAGTAGAAGATGATTCTTATCAGTGATAGTGTAATTTTCTAGTTCATATTTCATTTTTCTTTGTATTGCAGCTTCTCTAAGTTTCGCATCTCTTATTTCCCTCTTGCGCTCAAAGTAAATGTCAAAATAGGCCCTGCTAAGTTCTAATGTATACTTTTGTGCATCGGGTACATCGTATTCGTCCCAGGTGGCTATTGCTCGAGGAATCTTGGCGAAAATTGTGGTACACCTTTAGATGTAGATAGATTAATAAATATCGATTATAATCAATAATATCGTAACCATCTAGTTAAAGCTACAAGGATATAGTACGAGGGCGGTTCAATAAGTACCCCTGTTAGAAATGAAGACACCTCCTTTTTTAAAATTTGTTTTTTTATTTTTCAACATAGTCCCCTTTTAGAAAGATACACTTCTCCCAACGATCCTGCCATTTTTTTTAACCCTCCAAAAAATAAGATTTGTCGAACTCTCCAAAATCCCCCCTGTCTCGGCGATGACTTCCTCGTTTGAGCTAAATGTCTTTCTGGCGAGTCATTTCTTCATGGTAGGGAACAAGATGAATTCGCAGGAAGTCAAATCGAGTAAGTACAGGATGTGCGGCAGCAAATTCATAACGTAATTCATGCATCTTGGCGGCAACAACTCCTGATGAATGTGCCGCTGCGTTATCGTGTTGAAAATGCAACTTCTTTTTCGTCAAATGCGTCCGTGTCTCCTTCAATTTTTTGTCGAAGCGGTCCAATAACTCACTGTAGTATTGTTCAGTGATCGTTATTCCTTTTCCTAAAAAATCCGTAAAATGATTTCCTCGGTAACAACGTTTGCCAGGCTTCCTGATCGCTCCTATCAAAAACGGATCTTTGCCCACGTTTAAATTCGTTGAAGCAATATCTAACTGTGGTCGTAGATGGCGAAATGTCTCCATAAACAGTATCCAACTATGTTTTCATCTCCTCGCATTTTTTCCCATCCAAAAACAAAAAGCGAGTTACCGAACGATACTGCTCTTTTTCCATCTTAGCGAAAATAATTAAACACGTCTCAGTCGAATGGCTGCCAAATCCAAATCAGTCTTAAAATCCGTTTTGGAGCACACGATGACAACACCAATTTCCCTAAGAAACGTCCTCTGTCTTCAAACACGGGTACTTATTGAACCGCCATCGTATTTAATAAATCATCATCATCATCATCATCATCAACATAAGATCTAAAATAATATGTAATAAACTTATCCAGAAGACTTATTCTCAGAGATCTCTAGAGATAAGATTAGACCTCTCTATTTTTGTCCGGATACTGTATTACAGGAGTAGGAGAGACGGTAGAGATATAAAAGAAGATTGCGAGGCCCGAATCGTTCTTAACAAAAACAAGCATCTTCTCAGATATGAAGAGATAGTTGGAGACATAGATATAGATTACACATAGAAACAGGTAGACCTAGATTAGATTACTGTACACTAATAGTTCGGGTTATGAAATGTTCTATTTTTAGCGAAGATTAGCTCAGGATTGGAGAGAGTAGAGGTGCACAATCAGACTTTTAGGACTGACGACGTTATGATGATAAAGACTTTATTCCAGTCTGAGTAAATCTTACCTTTTTGTGATATTCCGTCTCGGTCTCAGTGACTTGGGCATGTCGTTTGGGAATGCTATTATGTCACTTAATTTGTCAACACTTTTTATTCTATCAACAACGATCGGTTTCGGTATAGGTATATTGGTATCGAATGAAACTTCTTCGGGAAGAAAGCCCACTTCATGGGTAATAACGGGTGTGATACCGTGATTAATTTTGGGTACGGGCTTTTTCGATATCGTGGTCGATTCTAGCTGAATGTTCGCCTCGATTTGTCCGACGATTTGCATTCCTTTTGTTTCGATACTTGGCAGGTTTGGGTACAAAAGGTCAAATATTATTTTAGTTTTCTTTTTTCCCGGTGCAGAGGCTGTAATATTGACCAGAAGATCCAACTGACTTAGAGGTTTGATGCAACCATCGGAAGGTTTTACTTGAACATAGGCAGTTGGTTTATACTCGAAGTAGATCGAAATGTGCTGATTGTTATTTTTCATACTTATTACCCTTGTTACAACATCCATTAAGTACATGTCTTTTACTAACAGTTCTGATGGAACTAAACTAACATCGGGAACGAACGCTACTGCATATAGGAGTGTCACTACGTAATTATCATCCCTTCCGAAAACCAGTCTTGTTTCAGTTTGTGATTCGGAGTCATCAGAACCTTCTCTTAACATACGCCCTTAAAATAACATAAACTTTTGTATTTTACATTAATGGTTTGTTAATTTTTCAAGGTCTCAGGATGATTTTTTTCAGAATTCAGTTTAAATTGTTTCCCTTTCCATTAACAAAATTACGGTCTACATATTTTTGTGGTTTTAACAATAGTAGACAATTTTACCTGCATCTAGTAATGTTGATGACGACATGTAACCTGGGCTGGCATATCTCAGCTCGGAGGATTCTTTTTTAGCTTCCAAATCACTGTCTACAATTTTTAATATTACTAATTCTCATATCTTTGTAGTAATTGGGGAAAGCCATACCGATAATCTCGAATACACGCGCTTCTTGGAAATACAATTCGACGAACTTAAACCATTGAAAGTATTCCTTAACAACATATCGATTGCCTGTGTTAATTGGTTTTGTTGGGGTAAATCTAAAAGTACCAAGTCCTGATTATAAAGCAAATATTTCGTTTAGAAATCTCCTTGACATTTGGGTCATTATATTCCTTAAAGATTAGTAGTTTAATAATGACTTTGTTTTTGTTATTTTGCCTTGTCCACACACAGGGATTAACTTCCCTTATGTAGTCATATTGCTCAAAGGTGAAAAATTTTCATCACCTGATTTCTATTTGTTTCAAATGGGAACTTAATTATAATTTCTTGATTGTCCATAACTCGTAAGTTCCAAAATTGTAAACAAGTGAACATAATTTATTAATTCGCCCAAAGAAATTTGATGCCCTGAATTATATTTCGTCAATTTTAAAATATTCTAATTTTATGAACCAATTTATAACTAATCATCAATCATCAATTTGTGCTGAGGAGTCTATTAACCAAAGACAAAACGTTAATGTAACTTCTCAGTCTTTTCGAGATTGATCTGATTATTTTTAAATTGTTAATACTTTAAGCTACTGTTAGGTAAAAAATTTATTTAGAACACATAATTAATTGCTTACGATACAGTTATTGTTTTAGTCTCCATTGGATAAAATTGTCCTCCTGTGGGAAAGCAGCGAAAGGCGTTCATATCAGGGATTGTGTTAATAGCTTCACGAAGCACCTGTCGTATATACAATACGTGAAATATTTAGACTGGAAAAACTTGAACTCAGTAGGTGAAGATTTAACCCAAATCACCTCGATAAAATATGACTCCATATACCAAGTTACAGGTAAATGTCATTTTACTATAAACAGGAATACTTTCTGCGTAAATAAATAAGTTACAATGTTTGTTAATCTTATTCATAAACCTAAAATAATCAAGTGCAGTTTCGATTACGTAATGAATGCAATCCTATGACAAAACTTTGACATGATTAATGCATTATTAATAATTACATTTTAACTTTAATATCCCGAAAAGTAATAAAATCCGGTAGAAACAGTAGGTAAGGAATCACATTTGATCTAAGTGATTTCGGTTGAATCTGCACCTTTTGATCTAAAGATTGTCCAGTTCAAGTATTTCCTTTTATTTATAGAAATTAAAATGTCTTAACATTTAGGTACTTGATGACATTATACAAAGTATACTTTATGTTTTGTGTTTATTAAATTTTACTAACCATTTGTTCTCCCGACTGTTTCACTGCTGTACAGAATATTGTTTTAGAAGCATTATAATTTCGTATAATCACCGTTTTGCAAACTGTTGCTCCGAAATACGTTTTTCCAAAATTTAAGAACATTGTTCGCTCGTTAGCAGGAATGGGATGAAGTATCTCGAAACGCGGTTGAATAATATTTGCCGAAACTTTTACAGATATTGAATTAGCACATTTTATCCAAAACTGGGTACTATAAGGACCCAACTGATCTACCATAATTTGCAATGAAAGTGGCATTTCTCCTTTAGGCTGTAACGAACATTGCAGTCAAAATGTTAGAAATAGGTAAGTGTTTTCTGTAACCCACTTCCCTAGAAACTTCTATAATTCAACTATTGCTGAGTATATTCAATTTAAACTATTTGCATTTGTGGAAAACTCTACTAACATACGTATCTATAGTTGGAACGATCACAATTGGCAAAGTCCGCAATAAATTATCTGTGAGAGTGGACGTATCTTCTTTCTTGTTTCCACATGAGACTGTAATCATTTTTCTGGGTTTTGAACACGTCCTTGTTAAGCTAGCAAATGATTCATGAGTAGTACCTACAGACAAAGTGAAAAGTGATAGCTGAATAGCCCGAGATAAAAATGTTCAGTCTCTCAGAGTCTCCGATAGCGAGACTCGAGTCTCCGTCTCTCATCGAGTCTCTTTAGTTTCGCAGAGAGAGACTGTCGAGAGACTGTCAAAAAAAATGTTTAGCGTCTCTGAACGAGAGACTCGAGTCGCTCATAGAGAGATCCTCGTTTCGTATCCAGTCTCTGAACGAGAGACTCGAATCTCTCAACAAGTGGTGTCTCGATAGACATGGTTAAAATTTTCTAAGTTCAACACATTTCAGAGATCCCAGTCTTTCTACGAGAGACTCGAAGCTCTCAATTTTGTAGTTTTATTCATTCAGTCTCTCTGTGAGAGACTCGAATCTCTGAATTAACAATTTTATCGTTCGAGNCTTCTTTCTTGTTTCCACATGAGACTGTAATCATTTTTCTGGGTTTTGAACACGTCCTTGTTAAGCTAGCAAATGCTTCATGAGTAGTACCTACAGACAAAGTGAAAAGTGATAGCTGAATAGCCCGAGATAAAAATGTTCAGTCTCTCAGAGTCTCTGATAGCGAGACTCGAGTCTCCGTCTCTCATCGAGTTTCGCAGAGAGAGACTGTCAAAAAAAGTGTTTAGCGTCTCTGAACGGGAGACACGAGTCGCTCATAGAGAGATCCTCGTTTCGTATCCAGTCTCTGAACGAGAGACTCGAATCTCTAAACGAGAGACTCGAATCTCTCAATATGTGGTGTCTCGATAGACATGGTTAAAATTTTCAAGTTCAACATATTTCAGAGATCCCAGTTTTTCTACGAGAGACTCGAGGCTCTCAATTTTGTAGTTTTATTCATTCAGTCTCTCTGTGAGAGACTCGAATCTCTGAATTAACAATTTTATCGTTCGAGTCTCTCATACAGAGACTGTGAGAGATCCATAAAAACATTTAGGCAATAACTGAGAGACTGTGAGAGACGCTCTCAGAGACGCTGAAAGACTCTGAGAGACTGCAGAGAGACTGAAATTTTTTGTCCAGGGAGAGGCTGCTTACGTACGCAAAAAATCAGGGTCTTATAACTGCCTGGTTGGAATTACACCTTTAAACATTCATCTTTACTTTCCTAAATTCCTGAGAATGTGGAACTATCTTTAATATCCGGCAACATACTCAAATTCTTCTTGTTCCCATCTCTTTTTGTTACACATCAATCGGTGTAATGTTATTCCGTCTTATTTATTACTGTCCGCTGCAAATTGTACCTTGGCATCTCTTTTCTATGTTTACGATATTCCCTACAACGTCTGCCGTGTGTAAAGGGTGTAAAGGTAGCCGTTCTGTTAACAACCGTTTTAGTCTAGTTAGTAAGTTAAAAGAAAAAAGTAAATGCTACAATTTCATTGCGGACTGTGCCAATTTTGAACGTCCCCCAACTATATTTGAATCACAACCCTTCGTCTGTATGATACCCTTTTATTTTTGATACCTTCAGTACTCCTCTTGAAGGTTCTATGTCCAGCGTGTTGTGACATGAGTAAACGTCTGCAATAAATCTAACAGTTCTTCCGCAGAGATTGCGTAATGTAATGATCTGGGCGTTTGATACACATCTGACATTTAGATCGCCGAAATCTACATCATGTGGAGTAGCTTCAATATTCACGTCCGAAGATGTACTTAAAAATTAATTGACAATATATACCAGTGATTATATACACGCTAACAGGATAACATATTAGGCGTCCCCAAAATTGATTTTATTCAACTTTTATCGATCAGGAATGATATAAAATATCGTATTTCATTAAAGTATTTACGTACTAAATACAGTAAAAGTTTATACACTATCTTATTTTTATTGTGGGTACTCCAATCTTATCAAAGTTTTCGTTCAAAAATTTTTAAAATATATAAGTTACATTTGTAGTATAAAATCTCAAAAGACTTACATGAGTAGTGGATACATGTAAACCACGTCGTTAATGTAAATTGGGACCTCTGCATAAGGTAAATGTGTCGCTTTTGAATAATGATACGTCACCTTCTTTTTTATTGATAAACCTGGAGAGAGCATTACTGTACGTTTTATGGGATCGATGTGAAATGCCTGGAAAAGCGAAACAATCCTACGGTTTTTTAATTAACAAAGAATAACGCAGGGTCCGACCGTTTTTAACAAAATAAAAATCACTTGTGAAAGAAAAGGTTTAGAAGCGTTTGAAATGTGGTGTTACAGGCGAATGATGAGGATACCGGGGATAGAGAAGGTTACAATTGAAGAGGTATTAGAAAGAATAGGACAACAGAGAACTCTGTGAAAGTCAATAAGAAACTGGTGAGATAGGTTAGTAGAACACCTTCTCAAGCATGAAGGTTAGAGACATATTAGAGGCAGAAACGGGAGTTAGAAGGGGTAGAGTTAGACCCAGATTAGATTACTGTTCGCAAATAGTTAAGGATATGGGTTGTTCTAGTTTTAAGGAAATGCAAAGATTAGCTCATGATAGGAAAAAGTGGAGGTGCGTGTCCAACCAGTCTTAGAACTGACGACCGTATGATGATGATGAAGGGAGGTTGGCGAAACGGGAGTTGACAAGTCAGATTAAACCACGGTAAAAGAACGGCGTCCAACAACGGAGATTGTTCTAAAGCAATGGCAAATCATATGCTGTGATAACTGATCTAGACTCTCGTTTTTTGTAATGCATTATTGGAATTTCTGGATAACAAGTAAAAAAAAAACAGGTTGCTAAGTAAAAACTAATTATCATAAACAACAAGAGATTGTACAACCATTCGTTCCTCATTTAAATGTTCAAAACCACTCGNATCCTCATTTCGTATCCAGTCTCTGGACGAGAGACGCGAATCTCTCAATAAGAGGTGGCTCGATAGACATGGTTAAAATTTTCTAAGTTCAACACATTTCAGAGATTCCAGTCTTTCTACGAGAGACTCGAGTCTCTCAATTTTTCAGTTTTATTCCTTCAGTCTCTCTGTGAAAGACTCGAATCTCTGAATTAACAATTTTATCGTACCTAGGCAATAACTAAGGGACTGTGAAAGACTGAGAGACTGGAGAGAGTCTGAAAATTTTTGTCTAGGGTAAATAGTTAAGGATGTGGGACATACTAGATTTAGGGAAGTGCGAAGATTGGCTCAGGTTCGGAAGGGGTAGAGGTGCGTGTTCTAGTAGTCTTAGGAGTGACGACCCTATGATGATGAAAAACTTACAAATGATTTTGGACTGCCTATTCTAATAAACGCATTGACATATCCACAATTAACAATTGTAACTGTCTTTTCATATACGTTTCCTTCTGAAGTATCCACAAACTCAATAAACGGAGGGGATACTTTAACGTTGTCATGCTGTAGATTGACAGTATGAATTGCGTAATTGCGTTTTTTCTCCATTATTCGTATTACGTCTGTCGACTGCATTGTGGACAACAAACTTGATCTTATCATTTTTGCTACAAAAACAATAACCACGAGAATATAACAATTAAAAGTATCTTCAATGCAAGCAAATGCCACAACTAGAAAAAAAAAAAGTGTTTTTGTCAAAGTCATTGCCAGCTACGACAAAACTCAGCTACTATTTCTCGAAATTTTAGAAGAAAAACTGCATTATCCGGGTAGCTTTCCTTTATCCTGCGGCACGAAAGCGGATACGGGAGTGGGATTGTAAAAAAAATGCTTCCCTCAATGGGTAGAGATGTAGACTTTGGTTGCTTATTACAGTTTTACACTACTCAAATGACCATCATGAAATTTTGTGCATACATTTTTATGGATACAAAAAAGGACATGGGGTGCTTTTATCCAAAAAAATCCCGAGGGATAGAAATTTTATTATATGTTTAAGCTAGAAAGTTAAAGACTTTAGTTTTATACTGATTACTTAAGAACGAATCCATCAAATTATTGTACTTTTAATGATCTTTGACATGTATTTAGGGCATTAACGCTTGTGCATCCCGAGATAAAAATGTTCAGTCTCTCAGAGTCTCTGAATGAGAGACTCGAGTGTCCGTCTCTTATCGAGTCTCTCTGGTGTCGCCGAGAGACACTGTCAAAAAAACTGTTTAGCGTCTCTGAACGAGAGACTCTAGTCGCTCATAGAGATACTCATTTCGTATCCAGTCTCTGAACGAGAGACTCGAATCTCTGAACGAGAGATTCGAATCTCTGAACGAGAGATTCGAATCTCTGAACGAGAGATTCGAATCTCTCAATAAGTGGTATCTCAATAGACATGGTTAAAAGTTCAACATATTTCAGAGATCCCAGTCTTTCTACGACAGATTTTTCAGTTTTATTCATTCAGTCTCTCTGTGAGAGACTCGAATCTCTGAATTAACAATTTTATAGTTCGAGTCTCTCATACAGAGACTGTGAGAGATCCATAAAAACACCTAGGCAATAACTGAGAGACTGTGAGAGACGCTGAAAGACTTTGAGAGACTGGAGAGAGACTGAAAATTTTTGTCTAG